ACATTAGTAGTGTCATTTGAGATGCAGTAATTTTTTTTTTTTTAGGATTTACCATCTTAAAAACTTAGCCTGCTTCATATTTCACTACAGATCCTATCTTCATACATTTGGGGAGGGGGGAATTCACCAATGGTGCAAGTTTATCTTTTTATCATATTTTGTTCACCTGAATTTGATTAAAAGCAGTAGAGAATTCTACTAATGAGTTTACGATAGATATACTCCTATTTTCCTTCAGTCACATAAAGTTGCTTTTCAAGCTATACCTTAGATTTTACTTTTTTTTTTTAATTTAGATATATGAAGCAAGCACCATCAGAACCTACTTTTGAGGTTGAACAAAATAGCATATATTCAAGTTCCACTACTTCAGCCACAGGACCACACTAGGACACTTATTTACAATGGACACTAATGAACTAAATCAAACCAGAAACAATGGCAGATATCATCAGTAGGAGTATGCATCATCTAACAAAATCAGTAGTGATACACATGTTAATTATCAACCTCGTTAAATTAAAATAGCAATACTATAGTTTCTACTTATGAGTTAAATCAGAGTATACTTACAGCAGCAATAAGCAACTTGTACTTTTCATGAAGGAGTTAACATTAAGGGTTGTGTGTTGTCAAGATAGATAATGCCAATAAGAATCTAATGCCAATAAGAATCTAATGCCAATATTAACAAGCATAAAACCGAAACAAAGATGATTACCAGGTATAAAGGAGAAAAACATGAGGCATATGAACTCAGGCATATCAAAGACTCACACTCAGCAGAGGCTTGATATTATACATATCATGCCTTATCCAAGATTTTAAGAAACAAAGTCTCTCTAGCTTTAGGGGAAACAAAAGAGCTATCCATATGCCTCTAACCTTAACAATATCAGCTAAACTTTCATGACCAAGATCAAGACACCTCCTATATATGTCATTAAACTCTCATTGTTGACTCGAATGAACAATACAAGAGGGGGGGTGAATTGTATTGTTGAGGAACTAGGGTAATTTTTGCGGAATTCTTAAAGAAACTTGAACAAAACTTTAAAGTGCAAGAGAGATTTTACGTGGAAAACTTCTTGGCCCTAATCAAGAAGAAAAACCACGACCACAAGGGATTTTAGTCACAACTCTTTATAATAATAGGGCAAACAACCTATTACAAATTAAGACTTCTAAACTCAAGTTCCTCTACGAACTTAAGTTCCCCCTCAACTGATCCCTCAATCTGTTGAGCTCTCGAATCTCTCTCTTTCTCCTTGCTTCACTCAAAGCAATTTCACACTCTAGAGTTTACCCAAACTCTACCCCAATACAACTTAATATAAAACTACTAAGATGCTAAGTACAAAGACACTCAAGGACTTAAGTGGATTTTTGACTCTTTTAGAAAAGCTAAGAATCGTAATGCTCAAGTGTACTTTTCAAAACAGAAAACTAATCCTATTTATACAGGAGGAAAGCAGTTGAAAACCTTACGTTTTCCTTAGCTCCCACTATACCACAACTTCCATGAAATAAGGAAATGCAGTTCGTGGATGCTTGGGCAACAAGCTGAAGCGCACAGCAAGGAAGTGGTTCCTATATTTTCTCAACCTCCTTTACCAAGTAAAAGCCGTTTGAAAAATAGTTTTACCAAGTCAGATTTTTCAAAATGTTAGGATAAAATCAGAACATAAAATCTTTTAAGAAATAAGATATTTTACTTAAAAGATATTTTTCCGAAATAAAATAAAATCTTTGTTAAAGAAAGGAAAAATAAAATCTTTATAAACTGAAATTAAATCTACTTAAATCCTATCAATTAACAATGTACTTAACATATATACAAGAAGCCTAAAATAAATAATAAAGATACAATAGACTCCTTGGAACACAGTGAAGCTTCGACTCTGGAGCTTCAGTTTCTCACTCAAGGAACTTGGCTTCTGATTGTCTTCTATGCTCGTCCATAGCTCATCCTTTAGACTTGTTCCATGCTTCATTCTAACTCTAGAACTTCGTTGCATATAAAACATGTCAATATATCAAAGCTAATAGACAAAAGTTAAAGCCCCTATGGGTTTGCTTAGGTTCCTTGAGTCATCATCAAAACTTAAGATCAACACTCATATATGATAATGCAACTCAATCAACCATATATAAAACAGAACAACAGGTGGCTGCAAATTTTAGTGACAGAAGGACAACAACAAGACAGAATAAAAGCAAATTTTAGTGACAACAAGACATCAACAATGTAGAAGGCTTAGTGATAGCAGGACATCAACAAGACTGAGGTGAAGTACAACAAAAAGATAAAACAATCAAAATCACAGAAGGCACTTTAGTATAGATCATATTAAGGGCAGAATAAAAGCAACATATACTTACAATTTCTTCTTCAAAATATTGATAGCCAAGTCTCCCACCTCGATATTTTGAGGTCTTCTTTTTAGACCTTTCACGATTACTTTCACTCAATTTCTGCAATTAAGTTCACATTCAAAGTTATTTTACACAAAAATTAAATTTATAAAGGCATACAAAAAATAAAATAAAAAGGTAATGCCATGATGATGAACTAACACCTTGAAGTCATTAGAACTACAAGTTGTGATGAATGCCCCCCAATCATCCGGAGTTATAAAAGGATATTTCAAAGGTGGTGTATTGTTAATTGATCCATCTTTGAGATACAACCACCTAAGTCTTAGTCTAGTCTTGAAAGCTCTCCATCGAACACAAGCTCGATTTAGTATCCATCGTTTGCGACCTTCAAGGACATAAAACCCCCTCTACATTCATATAATGTCATATATATATATATATATATATATATATATATATATATATATATATATATATATATATATATATATATATATATATAGAATTGAGATCATGTGAGAACCAAGGTGAATAATAGGAACTAAGAACCAATCTCAGCCATTGATCGCACTCAATCTGGTGGTTCACGTTTCATTCGCATTCATTAATGGCATTTTCGTAATTATGCGTTTTTTGCAACTTTTTTCCAGTTTTTAAACTTTTAAGGCAATTTCATTTACTTTATGACTGATTTCATTTACTTTTACTAACTTTTTATTTACTTTTTAGAAATGAAATTGGGAATCAGATTGTGACATTCAAATATTACAAAAATGTCATTAATGACACATGAAGCATGTGAGCCGTCGGATTAACATGATCTAAGGGCCTAGATTAGTTCCTAGTTCTTATTTTAGCCTTGGTTCTATATACATAACCCTAAACTTTTTTTTTATTATGTAACATATGAACTCAGTTTACTTACCGAGATATTGTCATACAAATGATATATGACTGCTCGTGGAACATCTAATCACTTGTTGTAGGTGGTACTTACTCTTTCACGCACAACTACACCAATATAGGTGGAAAAATGAACTCTATGACTCCCAATAGGGATTTTTTTGGTTGGATGCCATTGTAAAGGGATTTTGGAGCCAACATAGATAGCTTTTCCAACCATTTTAAGCACCATGCGACCTCTTTCTTCCTCGCATTCATTGTTGTCAGAAATTTTGGTTTAACGCACTTGCTTTTTTTTCGAGCCATCAACCTATTGAAAAGATAAAAAGAAAAAATCACTTTGATTATTTAACTAAATAAAATGCTATAAAAACCATAACGTGAATTAAATATTAATATATATATGGTAATGAGAAATGATTTTGACAAGAAAACATTTATAAATCAAGTTGTATAAACAAAGTAAGACTTGAAAATTAATGTTACCACCTAGTAAGTGAAACACACCTCAAATACATAAGGACTTATTGTGTCCACGATTTCTCTTTTTCCCCTTTTTTTCTTTGTCAACCCACACGCCTTCATTGTGGTCATCTCTAACTGTAGACACCCATTTCTGTCTCCCCAAAACCAAACCCAGTGATGAGTACCTTTCATGTCGAATCGTAATCGAATGAAGTGAAAGTGTGGAAAGTCTAGTGTTGCGGATAGTTTTAATTTCTTTTCTCTTCTCTCTGCTTTTAAAAACTTATTTTAAGAAAACAGTCAATCCAGTTTGGTTAGTCCATGATATGAGTCCAATAGTAGTGTAGTTGGATATAGGTTGAAAAGATCTTTCCAACGATATATTATAAGCTCAATTCCGATGAATATTGAGGAAGTTATGACCAATTTACTAAATTGGGCCCGATTTGAGCCTTATATGCAGCCAATGATCTAGAGGAGGGCCTAATATAGATTTATCATTCCTAATGCAATTAGGAATGGTTTTAGTCTTCTAGATTCTTCTAGAAGGTTCTTTTCATTCCTAATTCAATTGGCATTGATAAATTGACTTTTGTTGACTTTTTTAGAGTTTTAATCAGAACAATCTGATTTCAGAAAACGCGTCAATAATTAACACTACAACATTTACCTTCTTGTGCCATGGGTATATCCGTGGCTAGCCTTCAAATTTCCCATGGCACAAGTAATTAGCCACGGGTATTTTGGTCGTGGTATGCTGTGGCACAAAACCCTGAGGCTAGCTTTCTAGCCACTGGTATATTAACTCCCATGGCATATCCATGAACTAGTGCCATGGTTTTTCCCATCGCCAATTTACCACTTAGACATGAGTTCTCCTGTGGCTAAAGTAACAATTAGCCACGAGTTATCTTGTGGCTAATAGCCTACTGAGCACAAGTAAATGATGGCTAATATATTACATTAGCCATAAGCAATCCTATGGCAAACAAAAAAATAAATAATAAAAGACTACATTATTAGCTACAGATAAATTTATGTGTATCAAGTGAAATTGCCACAACATTTCATACCTCAAACCATTTACATAGCCATAACACGTCTTGTGGCTAAATAAAATACCTTGACACAACCTTAGCCATGGAAATTAGTAGCCAAAAAAATCTGTAATGTCCAACTAGTTTAACAGACACATTTTGTATGAGATTTGTGGTAGAGATATAATACTTATATTATATTATATTTATAAGATATAAAATTAAACATATAAAAATAACATTAACTTATACTTGTAAATATTTATACCAAATAATTAAAATCCCAAAAAATTACATCATACCATCACTAGTTTATAAAGTCATGCTTTACAAAAGATATCATTTGTCAATAATGTCTCAAAAAATATTGTTAATTCAATGGCCTTTTATATCCCCTACATCATCTAACCTGGTGAAGCAGTAAGTTCCTAAGTTCTTGACATAGTCATCCCTACAAAAAAAAAAAAAAAAAAAAAAAAAAACAAAAGAAAAAAGCGGTTAAAAATGTAAAATATTTTAATTATTGGTGTTCCATATAAACCTTAAAAGTAAAAGATATGTAATTAAGTATTGGTAAAAAAAAACTTACTAGTGATCAAATTAAGTTGTCTTAATGATCATGGTTTGCTGATGGTGCTCCAAGCTTCTCACACAACTTCTTGAACCTTTCCTCCCACATTTGATCACGTTCAGCTAATTTTTCCTCTATTTTTTCTTCCATGGCGTTTTTAACTTCTTCAACTCTTTCGTCAGCTTTTTTCTCAATTTCTATAACCTGATTAGCAAGATTGATACGACTTGGTTTCTCTTTAAAATGATTTGTAATGCTTTTATTTCTTCCATAAGCACGCAGATATCCATGTTTTTCTTCACCAAGTATTTCCTTAAAAATTTGTTCATCGGACATATTATTATGACCATCTTCTCTCTCTTGTATGGAGTTTTTCAACTTTGACTGCATTTAAGTGGACAATCAAGTGGATTAAAAAATCATTAACATTATCATAAAATCCATTTTAAAAGATAAGAGTTCACAATTTATAACCCATACCACAATCTCCTAGTTTTCAGCAAACTTCACAGGATCAACAGGTTAACTTGATGTTCTTTGTCGTGATGCAATCGAAATTTCAGCGCGAGTAGGTTCTCGATTAAGTTTCTTTCTCTGCAATAAAGATAATTTGTTATTTTGTAACTTCTAAAGTATGATCAGACAAAAATCAAACATGTAGTTGTATAATACGTACTAATTCATCAGCAATTCGAGCAAAGCTTTTTGTTCTTGAGTAGTGAGGAATCTTCAATCTAGATCTATTCCTTTGACTTAGATTCTATAACAAGAAATGTACTTTGTATTTAATTGTCATATAATAATACAAGATAAGAACTGAAATGTATATTAATGACACTAACGAGTTACCTTGAAATCTGGTGAGTGCCAAAGTTTACACAAGTATAACCAATCTCTTTTTGCAACATTTTTTGGCTTATTTTTTTCCCTCTGTACTTGGTTAATCAATTCAGGATCGTCGTAGTATATAGCTTTTAACTTCCTTCTGTAGTCACGATATAGTGCATTCATATGCCTGAGAATGAACTCTTTGCGCATTTCTGGTTGATCCATTGTGAACTTCTCCTAGGTATTAGGTGATGAGAAAATAAGTTAGAATCATCTTTAATATATACATACACATATACCTTTAAATAATAAGGTTGAAAATAATTTATACCAGCACAACATTCCATGCAAAATCAATATAATGGTCTTCAATGTTCTTCCACTCTGGAACTCCCAAAGGACAACAAGTGCGATTTCGAACGGTTTGACCCAAAAAATATGTAAATAAAGAAGAATTCTCACCAATCGGGCGACAATCCTTATCAAATGTCACATGTAGTTTCTCTCCTGGCATTAGATTTATGAGTTTTCTACAGCAAACATTCCCTCTTTTTTTCTTTGTTGGACGACCATGTTGAGCTTTAAAAGGTAAGTAAAATTAGTATATATCAACTTGAAAGAATGGTATCAGATATAAAAATCAACACCATACACTTTTATAAATTGACTACATACATGCTTCAACAACCGCCTTAGAAGTTTGTGTAGCCACCATCTGGACACTCCTCAGGTCATTATCATTGGCTTCTTCATCATCCTCACTAAATGGTTCAACAGGTTCTTGAAGTTCAATAAAACCCTCAACACTAGCTGTATTTTCATTTCTTCTTGATGTAGAATCCAATGTAGTAGCTTTCAAAAAAAAAAAAAAAACAACATATGCATGCATAAATATTCATACTTAGTATAGCTTAAATAATAATAGTAATTTACAAAAATAAAGGTACTTACATGTATTAGCAGCCATCACCCCTTGATCATCTTCATTATCTCCAAGATGGGTATTATCTTGAGAGTTCCTAGAAGAAGTAGGAAAATATTTTGTTCTGCCCATAACTAGATAAAATGAAAACAATCATTATAGTTATACCCCATGTGTTACAGCTGTAACTTAATATTGTCATAGTAGTTATATAAATTAACAAAAAATATTAAACCACAGGGAAGCAAATGTGCAAGCACTACAATAATATAAACTTCAGAAACAATCTCTTACAACAAGAGAAACATAACAATTAGCACATTTAAATAACCATGGCATTAGTCATTAAGAGTCACTATCATCACTATCACTACCAATACTATCACAATCAACGTCACTTTCACTATTCTCAGCATCAATCTCATCCTCTAACTCATCATACTCATCTTCAGAATCATCATTGAACAATTCACATTCATCTTTAGGCTCATTATCCTTAGTAGCTTCAATAACCAGTTCTTCAATATCATCACGCGTGTCATCAGAAATTTGAACTATGTCTCCATCCTCTTCTCTAGATTGCATAGTTGGAGTCCTTATTTCATCTTGTTGACAAGCATCTAAATCATCTTCCTGGTTATCTTGATTCAAAGTGCATTCAGATGATACATCATAGCTATGTCGCGCTTGTGTTCTAATAGCAACAAGCCAATTTGGATCAAAACCATCTCGAACATAAAATACTTGTTGCGCTTGACATGCAAGAACAAAGGGCTCATGAGTTTGCAATTTTCTCTTTGTATTTACACTCACAATGTTATGCTTATCCACTTTAATTCCTTTTCCAAAATTACTAACATCCCACCAGTGAGAATTAAATAAGACCACCCGTTTACCATCCAAATATTGCAAAGAAATGATTTCAGTTAAAACACCATAATAGTCTAAATTTCTTGCATCCGAAGCTCCTTCGACTAATATTCCACTATTTTGATTTGTCCGCCTTTCTTTAAGTGCCTTTATATGAAATCGAAAACCATTAGCGATATATCCATTGTAACGCTCCACACCCATCAAAGGACCAAAAGATAATGATCGCAAGTCTTTTGCCACCTAACTATGTTTATCCGGCAAACTGTTCACCTATAAATAGGATATCAACAAAAAAAATCTTACAATGAAAAATTCATATATAATCTATTGAATATATAATATAAGAGGAATAGATGTTGAATAAAAAAACATACACGCTCACGAAACCATTCTGAAAACTCGTTCTCATTCTGCCCTTGTTCATATTCTCTACATAAAATGTATGATTTTTGTCGTTAGCTATTGCATTAAAATAATAGTTACTAATTTCATAAAATTAGTAACGTAAGAGAAAAAAAAATATTACCTTAGGAAAGGTTGGACCTCATCACAATTTTTCAAAACATAATCTCGAGCCTTTTCCCACTCTTCTTGTGTAAGACACTTTGATTTTTCTTTTCCAAGTGAAACGCCAGACGGTGCAAATATTGAAAGACCCTCATAATCATCACTAACACTATCAGAATTTCGTTCTTGTTGATTAGATTTAGTCTCAACATTATGCAAATACTTTGAGCAAAAAAATAAACATTCTTCGAGAATATATCCTTTTGCAATACTACCCTCTGGCCGAGCTTTATTACGAATATAATCTTTCAACTTCCCTAGAAATCTGCATAAAATTATATGCATATAAAATAAAGTGAGGCAAAGTCATAAAATGTGCTAATTATCAAAATCAAAACAAAAGAAATGTTTCATACCTTTCAATAGGATACATCCATCTACTCTGAACAGGCCCTCCAATTTTTGCTTCACCAACAAAATGTACACACAAGTGAACCATAACATCAAAGAATGATGGAAGAAAAACCTTTTCCAATTTGCACAAAGTCACAATTATGTGATTCTCCAGACAATCAAGATCCTCTACGTTAAGTGATTTCGAACACAACTCCTTGAAAAAAATACCAAGTTCAACTACTAAATCATACACTTGCTGGCAAGATATCCCTCTAATGGCAAGTGGCAATAATTGTTGTAGAAGAACATGACAATCATGAGTCTGAAGACCAGACACCTTACGCTTCTTAATACATTTGGAAAAATTTGAGGAATAACCATCTGGAACTTTAACTTCCTCCAAAAATTTACACACTTTATCTTTTTCACCAGGAGATAATGTGTACATAGCAGGGGGTATATGCCATTTCCCATTAATCAACTTTGGATGCAACTTTTTTCTTATTCGGAGTTTTTTTAAATCATGTCTAGCCTTTATGTGGTCTTTACTCTTGCCTCGAATGTCTAACAATGTGCCAAGAATGTTATCAAAAACATTTTTTTCAATGTGCATTACATCGAGATTATGACGCAATAAAAGTCGACTCCAATATGGGAGTTCAAAGAAAATACTAATCTTTCTCCAATTATCAGCTCTCTTTGGATGTTTTACATCTTTGCCAAATTTTAAATCTTCAAGTCCACTCATTTGGGCTAACATCTCATCTCCGCACAAAGGCTTAGGAGCTGGTCGTCTCTCTACTTTTCCATCAAATGTCTTGCTATCCCTCCATTTATGATTAAGAGGCAAAAAACATCGATAATCCATGTAGCATATTTTCCTACAATTAGGCAATCTAAAGGAAGAAGTACCCTTACCACAAGTAGGACAAGCCATATAACCTTTAGTAGACTAACCAGACAAATTCGCATACGCTGGAAAATCATTTATAGTCCATAAAAGAGAAGCACGCATAACAAAATATTCTTTTTTAGATGCATTATAAGTTTCAATCCCACATTCCCATAAATCTTTCAACTCATCAATTAAGGGGCGAAGATACACATCAATATTATTCCCAGGAGCTTTTGGCCCAGGAATTAACAAAGATAGCATCAGATAAGGTTGTTTAGTAAACATCCATGGAGGAAAGTTATAAACAGATAACACAACAGGCCATGTACTATAGTCACTTCTTTGTTGGCCAAAAGGGTTAAAGCCATCAGATGCTAAACCTAACCTAATATTACGTGGGTCAGAGTTGAAAGTAGGATCAATTTTATTAAGGGTCTTCCAAGCTTCTGAATCTGCAGGATGTCGCAAAATTTCATCTTTTACTCTACCCTCAGAATGCCACCTCAAATCAGTTGCAGTATCAGAAGACATGAATAATCTTTGAAGCCTAGGCTTAAGTGGAAAGTAACGTAGTACCTTGCGAGGAATTTTTTTATGATTTTTGGTGACATTTTTTATTACTTTCCATCTAGACAAACCACATACTTTACAAGTCTCAAGACTCTCATTCTCCTTCCAATATAACATGCAATCATTCTCAAAAGCATCAATTTTTTCATAACTAAGGCCCAAATCTTGAATAATTTTCTTTGAATCATGGTATGTTGTTGGCAAAGTGTTACCTTCAGGCAAAGCCTTTTTTACTAATTGCATTATATTAGTGAAAGCCTTATTAGAGAGACCATTAACACATTTGATTTGAAACAAATTAACCACAAATGACAACTTTGAGAAACCATTGCATCTAGGATACAACTGTTGTTCAGCATCTTTTATTAATTTTTCAAATTGTTCATGTGTCAGACTAGGCTTCTTAGGCTCTTTGTGACTATTACTAGATATGTTGATGTCATCACTCATATCATCTTTATCAAAGGGATTATCATCAGGATGTCCTAATGCATCATGAATCATCTGGAACATGTCACCATTAAAATGCTCCGTACTATCATTTTTAGCCCTTTTGGTACTGGAGTATACTCCCCATGATATATCCAACGTACATATGATTTTACCATTCCATATCCCAACAAATCAGCTCTCATTTCGTCTTTGTTCTTGTGTTCAGAAAAATGACATTTTTTACAAGGGCAAGACAATTCATCCTCATCGTCAAAATCACAAAAGGCAAAATTAAGAAACTCTTCTATTCCCATTCTATATAAAGGACAAAGTGTGTCAAGTAACAACATCCACTCCAACCTTTTCTTCAATATTTCAGAACAATCCATCTTGAAAATAAATAAATAAATAAATAAATAAATAAATAAATATCATTACAAATTTAATAGGAAAGATAAATGAAAACAATATAGAACAATAGGCCTTGTTAATCACGTAGGCCACATCATTAACATTATAACATTTTTAACATGTAGTGTGGCAAATGATCAATCAAATTCCTAATATATAACAATAATTAATGATCAATTAAAAGGAAAAACATGTTATAATATGTCAAACATAATCAAAATTAATTCTAAAAGATGGTGATCCATAGACATCTTATAGAATACAAAGATATGAAAGGTTGACTATACCTTATCCAAATGCACTGCAAAGTAGATATTATAAATTTGGTTGGAATGACACAAAGATAAACTACAACAAAACAGATAGAATTAGTTAAAAAAGCAATCATCTCATAAACTATATGTAGCCAAAACTTTGCATCTTTAGTGATTAAAAAAATAAATTATATATGGCCAAAATAAGAATTAGATATTATATTATCTTAGACATGTAACTAAACTAATCCACCGTAACCCACTATAAAAAATAATGTGCGTAAAGTAAATACTTCACAACTTACTAAAGTTAGGCAATCTATAAACATACAAAGCAAACTCTATGACAGAACATGAGAATCAAGTAAATTCTTACATTACCACCATCTTAACAAACAACACTTCATTTCTAACTTGAACTTAGTGTCTTTGTAATTGCTATATCTTTGTATTTTATAACAATTCCAATTACAATGAAGCAAATTTTATAATAAACAAAACCAAAATAAAGAGCATTTACTGATTATGTACTGCATGTTGCAATTTATTAGAATTAGATTTAATAGAGCATCTTTTAAAAAAATTAATTTTTTTTTTAAAAAAAAAACTAGTATAATATAGCCTCTAAAAATGTAGATCGGTAAATAAAATATGAACAATATCCCCTAACTAACAGTGGGATTTGAGATAAACCCCTTGTATAATAATCCATGGAATTTTCTTAATTTTAAAGACCCCATATCAAACAAACCCCATCAAACTAAACAATAATAATGATTAACCATGTTCCCAATTCAATCTAAAATGAAATACCCAGAAATTCAAAAGTAAGGTTTTTTTGACATAGAAACTAAAGTTAGGAGGAAGATGAACAACTCGCCAAAAGAAAGGAAGAAATGAATTTCTGAGCCGGCGTGTCCCAGTGGTCAGCGTACCAAATTAACCCAAAGCATCAATTTTTAAAGAATTTCCCAAAATTGAAGTAATGAACCATTAATTTTGTGAAATTTGTTTCTTAATTCAAGAAAAGGGAGAGGATTTTACAACCTAGGAGGAAATTGGAATTAAATCCATGGCGGTAAGTGAGGAAGAGTGGGAAATTTCTAGAGTATGAGTATCCTAAAAAATATAATAAGAAAGTTAGGTTTTATATGTGAGAGAATATATGTCCTTAAAAAACATCACTTTATCAACAATGAGCTGTTAAGTGATGCGTTTTATCTACATTGAAAATTTTCCTCTAAAATTATGACTTGCTTATAGGAGGGAAAATTCCCGCTACATTTTTGGTGGGCTTGTTTAGCTAAAATGTAGCCACGGGATAAATTGACTGTGGCTAAAACTTTATAAAATTTTATGTAAAGTTTGCCACTAATATTCTCATGGCTACAAAAAATACTTGTGCCACAATTATTTGATTTCCCGTGGCTAATTCCGGGCCACTCCTGCGGTAATAGAATCAAAGAAAGAAAGAGACCAGAAGAGTTTAAACAAGCGTATTGACTGCGGGGAATCGATCTCAAGGGGCACAAGAGTGCTTTTTGTTGTAGTGTAAGTTAGCGCCAAACTCTAGCATTAGCGCCTGACGCTAAGCTTGGCGCCTGGCGCTAATGTCAGCGTCTGGCACTAACCTCGTTTTACGCGTCAGAACTCTGTTTCAATTTTTATCTTTTTGGCTGATTTTCTCTATAAATAGCCTCCTAAAAACTCCATTTTCATTCACCAATTCTCTCTATTTCATTCACCAATTCTCTCTATTTCATTCACCAACTCTCATCAAGATTCTCTTGATTACTCTCTCTCTCCCTTTTCTAAACTAGCCTTTTCTCAAAATACAAAATTCTACATTCACAAGACTTAGGTACACCTAGCCATATTCGAAGTTGCCTTCTCCCTAGACGTGAAAGGTTTTAATTTCTGAGGGTTTGGTCCGAAGTATCTATTTCAATTATTTAATTTAATTGTTTTAATTATTAATTTCCTTGAAGTTACTAACGCGTGTATTTTGTTATTAGAAAGAGGTACGAGGCATCCAAGTAAGTACTTTAATGGTTTAATTGATGTTACGATATAGAAATCATGCTTAGATTGTTATTTTAATTCCTAGTATCATGTCTAGGGTAACTTTAATATCAAGTATGATTAAAAGTATGATGCCTTTTATGTTAGTTCTTCCTAATATTTATTATTATTAGTATCATGTTAGGGCTATATATTTGATCTTTAATGCTTAGTGACATGCTAGGGTTTGTTATTAATCATGTTAGTATCATGCCTAGGATCTTACATTATTATGCTTTAACATGATTAATTTAATTATTATGATTGTTATTTCAATTATTATTATTATTATGATTATTATTATTATTATTATTATTATTATGTTGCTTGATATTTATTGTTATTGCTTGATCACGCCTTTTATGCATATTTAAAGGGAATTGGTACTTGTAATCACGCTTAATAAGATAATTAATAATCTTGTTAGGGTTAATTTGATTATAATTCAAGTGATCGCCAATAATAGTTTATTTGTGCATTAATATTCAACCAACATAGATAAACATGTTTAGGGTTAAACCTATTGATTGCATGTTAGTCAAAAAGCGCACATGAATACGATCAGAATAAAGTAGAGGCCTATTATTAGGGCAGGTTCAATCTCTTTTAGGTTGGATTTGTACCTTCATCCCCGAACTACCAGTCATGGTTCAAGACCTATTGGAGTTGACGATCTCTTGGATCGTTAAGGGGTGTAATCTTCACCTCGTGAACGGTTTACAAGTTCCTAAAACTTGTTGGCGACTCTTTTGCTCTATCTTCTTTCCTTTTGGACGCCACCGTACTTTAGTGTATGATCACAGTGGGGTTCAAGTTTGAGATAACGCTTGAAATATTCCCTACACTAACATATATTAAAATATCATCTGTAACATCAACCTCAATGTGTACTTGCTCCTTTCTCCTAACATAACCATCATCCAACACACTATCTTCATCATAATCATCAAAAACATGTCGGGGCTTTGGTGCTATAACTGCTGACATTCTCTTGTTCGATGGGTCGGTCATATAAAAGATTTGTCTTGCCTGACTTGCTAGTATGAAAGGATCTTCTTTGTGACCAACTTTTTTTCAAATTCACCAATGTAAGCCCAAACCTATCATGTTCAACCCCATTGTTATTGTCGACCCATTGGCATTTAAAAACAAGTATCAAAAAGTAGAGTAATGCAGCTCACAAATCTCTTTGATGACCCCATAATAGTTCATCATACCACACACAGGATTCTTGTTTTTAGCACTAGCGAAATGCATAGCTTCGGACTCTAAAGTAACCCCACTATTCTGCATAGTATTAAGTTCATCTTGAAACCTTGTGTAAAATGTGCAACCGTTAATAACATAAGTAGAATAATAAGTTGCACTAAAATCGGGTCCAAATGCCAAACTCTTTAGTCGATTAGAAAATGGAGTCAAAGAATCTATGAGCTCCTTCATTACATAATCCTTCAGCCAACTAATAAATGACCTACTATGTTCAGCAGCTAATGACTTCTCATTTGCTCTCCTGTTGCTTTTCCTCAAGTAGCTCATGTGTTTCTCAACATACGGCATAACTTCATCCTCATTATGAGAATGTATAAATGAGCTTATGCCAATCAACATAGGATAGGTCATGTACTTTACGACTTATGGTCCCTCACCATCCATTCTTCCACTATAACGAGATACAGGAAACTCTATCTGTATTGCATTTAGCACATAGTCATTGGAATAAGCAAAAAAATTTCGTAAAATAGTCGTTCGACAATACAACCTTTAGGATGAAAAGCGTTCTTCATATATCCCTTATAGTTTCTCATTTTCCTTTCAAAACACCATTGATTTCTCATGTGAACTGGACCACAATATCTTATCTCTCTAACCAAGTGAATCGGTAAATGGATCATGATATCAAAAAATGATGGAGGAAAAAACATCTCCAATTGACACAAAATTGCAACAATTTCATCCTCTAATGCAGTCAACTCTCTTGGATCAATCACTTTGCTATAAATCGCATGAAAAAACCCGCAAAGTCTAATTATAGCATAACGAACATTTTTAGGCAGAATAGAACGAATTGCTACAGGTAACAAGTGCTGCATTAAAACATGGCAATCATGAGACTTAAGTCCTACAAGTTTCTAAGTTTCCATGTTCACAAGGCTACAAATATTCGAAGAATAACCTTCGGGCACTTTTACTCCAGCCAATCTTTCACAAAACTCGATTTTTTCTTTTCTGGACAATGTGTAAGTAGCAGAAGGCAAGTATACTCGACCTTTCTCATTCGTAACAGCATGCAATTCATCTCTAATCCCCATATGCTTCAAATCATATATAGCTTTTTTTACCATCCTTGGTCTTACAAGGATATTGAGTAATGTACCAATCAAACTATCACACACATTCTTCTTAATATGCATAACATCAAGTGAATGTATCACAAAGAGAAATTTCCAATAGGACAATTGCCAAAAACATGAACACATTTAGAAACCCTTTTTAGAAAGAGTGGATTTGTGTTTCTTTCTAAAAGTAATTTCAATGTCCTTCACCTTTTCGAAGACCTCTTCACCTAACATGACTTTTAGTCGCCCTTTGAATTCTTGTGTCCCATCAAACGCATTTTTTCTCCTTCGATATGGATGATCAGACGGAAAAAATTGATGATGAACCGGATAAACATGCTTTCCAGATTCCTTTAACCATTTCCCTTTGCAATCCTCCATACCAATAGGACAAGCTGTTTCCCCTTTCACATTATACCCCGAAAGATTTCCATAAGCCAGAAAATCTTGAATGGTGAAAAATAACATTGCTTTCAGATTAAACTTCTCATTGCGATGTGCATCAAACACTTCCACACCTTCTTCCCAAAACATAATCAAATCGTCAATAAGAGGTGCCAAGTACACATCAATGTCATTTCCCGGCTATTTTGGCCCTGAAATTAGCAACGAAAGGAACATATACCTTCTCTTCATGTACAATGACGGGGGTAAATTGTAGGTCACCAACATAATGGGCCAAGTACTATACGTACAACTCATGGAACCAAATGGATTGAAACCATATGTAGACAATGCAAGGCGTAAATTACGCTTTTCATACGCAAATTCGGGGTATTTTGCATCAATAAACCTCCATTGCGGAGAGTCAGCCGGGTGTCTAAGCATTCCATCGTCTACTCGACCATCAAAATGCCATGTTAACTTCTTTGCATCTTCTGCTTTTGAAAATAACCTCTTAAACCTTGGTACTATCAGAGAATACCATAAAGTTTTGGCAGGTACTCCCTGATCCCCTTCCTTATACCGTGAGGCTTACAAATTGGACAACTCTCTAACGATTCATATTGATTGTGATACAATACACAATCATTAGGGCAAGCATGCATTTTCTCATAAGGTAAACCCATAGAGATTAGTGTCTTTTTTGCCTCATATGTACCAATAGGAAGGACATTGTCTTTGGGAAGCATGTCTTTCACCAATTCCAATAACACATTAAAACTTGTGTCTGTCCAACCATGACCAGCCTTCAAATTGTATAATTTGAGTATGGCTGATAACCTTGTGCACTTGGTACAACCTTCATACAATGGTTTTTCAGAGTCGTTTAACAAGCTCTCCAACATGGAAGGGTTGTTATCTAATTAATCCTCAACTGCATGCAACATGTCCTCCAACCGATCACCCTCATTATTATTATGAACTTCGCGCACATCATCCCTTTTCTCACCACTACCACTATCTTGTATGTCCCTAAACTCTCCATGCCAGATCCAACGGGTATATGTTTTATCAAATGCCCATTTACTCAAATTATTGAGAATTTCATTCGGTCTCTTATTCAAACAATTATGGCACATAAAACAAGGACAACGTGGCTTGGAGCGGCCTCCACTGTTTTCTACTGCAAATTTAATAAATTCCTTAACCCCTGCTTCATATTCAGGGTCACCCGACTTTGATGTTGATATCCAATTTCGATCCATTTCTAACCACCAAGAACAAGACCTCAATTCTTAAAAATATCACATATGTAAAGCTCGTATAAAGGCAATTTGGAATATAACCACAAGATTTACAACATCTATAAAACAATATATATAAATAAAATAATAATTGCA